AGCTTTCGTGTTATTGGCGCGTGTCTGAGATACCACAGACAGACTAAAACGGATTTTATCAGAGAATGTTTATTCAGCTATGGGGAAGTGCAAGTTTAGCGATATTTGGCTTGAAAAATCTGAATTCCGTGCTTGGTTAAAGCCAGTTGCAAACAACATATTTGAGGCCTACTGCTTCTTATGCAAGGAAGCTATTAAATTGGGACCGTTGGGTGTACGGGCGCTGGAGTCACAAGCAAAAAGTGATAAATATCTAACTGCTGTGAAGGGCCTCCAGCAAACGACAGCCATCAGCCAGTTCTTGCAAGTATCTGGCGGCTCCAGCACTATTTCTACACTGCCTAGGCGAGGCCCACACAGTAGCTCCGCAACTCCCACAATCGACCTCCGTGTTGCTTTTGGATCAGAGCCAACACTAAAAGCGGAGGTGCTCTGGGTTCTCCACACGGTGACAAGACACCAGTCCTACAGTACCAATGAGGAAATCGGGGAATTGTTTCAAACGATGTTTCCGGACTCTGACATCGCTAATCCTTTAGGTGCGGGAAAGATAAAACGGCCTACATTAAGCGATTTGGAATAGCGGATTTTATAAAAACAGAACTAATTTCCAAAATCACGGGACCGTTCGTCCTGATGTTCGACGAAAGTACTATGTTCAGTGTTTAATATTTGGTGTTTGACTGTGCTACCAGAATGGTGTGTCGATTAGAACACAGGAATGAGTCCAGAAGTTACTTCTCAATTGATTTATTGCCATTTGCTTTCTTTCTTGGTTCTCCCATTTCCTTAATATGGCTTTACAATTGCTGCATATTGCTGATGTCTACAATCAAACAAAGTTAACTTTACTAATACAAATTATAATAATAAGTATACATTCACATAACCATAAAGAAAATCTTTAAACAAATCAACAGTTATCAAATTAATATCAATACAGAAAGTTTGAAAAAACGTACAAAGTCATAGACGCAGCAAACACATGCAGCAAGCTGAGGAGCAAACAGTCAGCACAAAGAGAGACACACTAGTGAGGTTGATTAGTAAGGTAATTATCCTCAGGTGAAGGAAGTTCCAGGAAGTGGGCGTGTCTCCCAATAGAGTGACTTATTGGGATTTTTAACATTCAGTTTGAATAAATTAAATTACTTTGCAAGTAATTTTGAGACTCTGCACTTCCTTTGTACGTTTTATTTTTTATGTCGTGATATAGGTCTTAAATTTCATTCATAATGGTCTTAAAAAGTCTTAAATTTGACTTTGTGAAACCTGCAGAAACCCTGATATATTCTTGAAACATGAACAAATGAGAAACATTTAACAAGTTACAAGTTAGTTTTTGGAGTACTTACAAATTGTTCCATGCGTTACTCCTGCTGCTTTCAAGTATCCGTCATGTTGATTGGATTCTTCCAACCTCGATCAGAGCAACGCCACAACGACGTGACGTAATTTATGACGCTCAGTCAGTATACTTAAAATATTCAGTAAAGAAGTGATGTTTACTTAAAAATAATGAGCCACACCAAATACAACTAAACTGCTCGTTCAGAAAATAATATTGTTTTAAGTAGCATTAACTATGACACAGATTTGAATTGTATTGTTCTCAATTTTTTTTTAAATTAGTAGTACTGTTCGGGTTTACAGTGAATGTAAAATGAGAATTAACCTTATTTAAAACCACCAAAGCAACTTAGGTGACAAAGCTGTTACCTTATTGACAAACTCTTTGCCTTGGTCTGTTAAAATCCTTTGTGGAGCTCCAAATGAATAGGACAAATCTAAAATAAAGTCAGACACTTCCTCTGCACGTTTTCATTTCAGTGGGTATAGGCCTCTGAAATAATCAATCATTACACAAATGTATTGATTCCCCCTCTTGGTTGGAGTCAATTCTCCAACTAAATCCATTCCCACCAGTTGCAGATGCTCTGTGATCTGGTAAAAATATGTCATATAGAAGGTCGATATGCATTTTATACACTTTTGGAACATTACTGTCATTTGATTTACTCACCTCTATTGGGACAGTAGGCCTTATTCTCCTTTAATGTAGACTTTCTGACCTAGCATTCAGGGAACTGGGCTATCTACAAGGTTTAATGTTTTGTGTTAAGGATAGTTCACTTTGAAATTAATTTTTGATATGTTTTAGCTTACCTCGAGGGCATCCAAGATGTAGGTGTCTGTTTCCGCAGTAGTTTCAATTTTGATATTTTTAGGTCAAACCGTTCTTGTCTGTCAGTCATATAATGCAGGTCTATGGTCACCACCTCAAAGAGCATGCACAGAGAAGTCCAAATTAAACATGATTTAATGACTGATAAATGTTAGTACACATTGATGGCCTAAGACACGAAACGAGCAGTATTTATATCGTTTTTACCTCTTGTAACCACAGCCACGTCCAAGTGATCTGAGGGCGCGGGCGCTTCGGTCTGTGCGTTACAAGAGGTAAAAACAATATAAATAATGTTCGTTTTCGCACACAAACTGCTCATTTCGTGTCTTAGGCCATCAATGTGTACTAACATTTACGAGTCATTAAATCATGTTTAATTTGGACTTCTCTGTGCATGCTCTTTGAGGTGGTGACCATAGACCTGCATTATAAGACTGACAGACAAGAACGGTTTGACCTAAAAATATCAAAATTGAAACTACTGCGGAAACAAATACACCTACATCTTGGATGCCCTTAAGGTAAGCTAAAACATATCAAAAATTAATTTCAAAGTGAACTATCCCTTTAAGTACATTCTAGTGATTTAGTGATTTGTGTTTAAATAATGAGAAAAAATAAGACTCACCCATTTGCTGATGTCCTCTTCCATGCCAGGCAAGTAGAATCTGGAGCTGATGGCATCTCGACCTTTTTCCATGCCACAATGACCCCCCTGATCACTGGCATCACAAAACATAATTTGCCTCCTCTGGTGAGGTGAACACTTTGGCCAAATGTTCACCTTACTTAAGGCCAATTTATACTTCTGCGTCGGGTGCGCGCAGTAGGTACGGCGTAGCATACGCACAGACGCGTACCATACGCCGTACCCTTCGCCGTAACCTGACGCGCACCTCCTCCAAAATGTAACTACACGTCGCGACGACGCGGACCGCAAGATCTGTGATTGGTCGGCTTGGGAGCATCGTGTTTCCTCCTACGCATTTCCGGCGCGTTCTTCTGCACCGCCCGCCATTTTTAAATTCTAAGTACAGCGAAAGAAACATGGAAATGGACCAAGTGACCGAGCGATTGGTTGAAGAGGTGAGGAAATACAGCCATCTGTATGACTCGTCTTCTGCCGAATACAAAGACTGCCAGATGGCAGCGAATTCATGGAGAGAGATTTCCTCCAACGTCGGGTTGGATGTAGCGGATTGTATGAAGAGATGGAAGAACACTCGAGACAAGTACGTTCGCCTCCGTAAAAAACTCGCCACAAAGAGCGGGGATCCAGGAGGGAAAAAAGTCCCGGCGTTTTATTTATTCCTATCTTGGCTGGCACCTCATGTGAAACACCGGCTTACGGAGTCAAACTTTGACGATAAGGTAAATAATGCACGTCCTTTGTGAACCTCTGTTGTGTTTTGGTTAGCTAACGTTAACTTAACTAGCAATGCTAATGGAGTATTGATTTGTGCAAAAATAATGTCTCTGTGAAAAAAATTTAATAGGTTGTAATTATATATGTAATGGGTTGTATTTATATTATATTTAATAGATTGTTATTGTATCAGGCTTACAGATAATGCAAACAAAACAACGTAGCGTTTGCAATGTAGGAATATGCAGTATCCATAGCTCTGTGAATTAACACTGAATGCATCAACTTATATATATATAACTATTTGCTATTTCTTTCATAATCACAGGATGGGAGCGATTCAAGCTCACACTCCACTGGTTCGGCTGTTGTGAGACCTCCAGTCAACAACGTTGAGCAACTACCAAGTTGTAGCCCTCATCACCAGCCAAGTCCACCGTCCCCCCAGCCAAGTCCACCGTCCCCCCAGCCATCTCTTCCGTCCCCCCAGCCATCTCTTCCGTCCCCCCAGCCATCACCTACGACCCCCCAGCCATCACCTACGACCCCCCAGTCATCACCTATGACCCCCAGTCCAAGGATGGCACAGAAAAGGAAGAGGAAGGAACAAGATGACTGGATCCAAATGCAGGTTGCTCGTTTGGAGGCTCAATTGGAGGAACGGCGGGTGGAGCTGCAACAGAGACTGAGTCAAGGAAACGACGAGAGCGACCGGTTTGGGAACACTGTGGCTGATATGCTGCGAAGGGTGCCGGAGGAGCACAGGGCACATGCAATGTTTGATGTGTCCAAGGTCCTGTTCGAGTGGCAGCAGAAAAAATAAACAATTGTGCCTACTTCTACAACGTTGCACCTTTTAATTCTCTGCACTATCTATAAATAGTTTGCATATTTTAGTAATTCGTGTAAGTACATTTGAGTATAGTTTGCACTTTTGCATCTATTAATATTTTGCTTCTTTGCACCTATTTGTGTTGTTAATATCATTTGTACATTTTTGTATATAGTTAGCACTTTAGCATTTTATTATATTTTGTCTGTTTGCACCAATTTTTGCAGGTTATAGTTTTTATCTTTTGTGTTTTCTCTTGTGCATCTATTTGTATTGTTAATAATTGTAGATCATTGCACCTTAATAAATTATAATTAATACCTTAATAATGTACATAGTTTGCACTTTTTATTTAAAAAAGAAATTGTCTGTTCCTGCTTTTTGCACATTGTATTGTGCAGGTTACTGCAAATAAAGATTTAAGTATAGTTTGCCCATTTGTGTGTTTACTCTTTTGCATCTATTTATAATATAAATAATTTTAGACCATTGCACTTTTACATGTTGCACAATCTTATATATAGTTTGCCCTAAAAAAAATTATATTCCTGCTGTTTGCACATTGTATTGTGCAGGTTACTGTAAACGATAGTAGAACAACACTGTACAACAACTTGACTTAAAACCTGGTATTTATTAACATGGTTCAATGTCATTTATAGGTGCATATATTTTACACCAGTACAATTTATAGATCAAGTTGACCACGACACACTATGTTGTTCTGCCATGGCACAATTCCGTGGGGTGATTGAAAGAAGGCCATCAGGTCATTCCGCACACCAACTGCAGCTCTGGTGGAGCGGGCCCTTGAAAGGTGACGTGGATCTAGTGGTTCCAAAAGATTTGTGTCCCCTGACACCACTCTGCGCCACTCCCCTTGCTGAGGTGACCCTGTAGTGTCAGTGTCTGTGAAATTAGCAGGGATGTATCTGCTAACAGGTGTGGTGACCTCATCTGTGTAGGCCAGGAAGTTGTGTAAAACAGAACAAGCTTTTACAATGTCAACTGCTTTGTCTGGCAGACATTCCAGAGGTCGCCCAAGGATTCGCCACCTTGCAACCAAAATGCCAAATGCATTCTCAATCACCCGTCTGGCTCTGGAGTGACGGTAATTGTAGGTCTGCTTATCCATGGGTAGGTTTATCCCTATGTAGCAGAACAAAACAGAATTAATTGTCTGCTAATGCAGCTGTGATCAGAAGAGTTCAGATGCAAAAGCCTCTAAATGCCATATGAAATTTTCTTCTAAAATGATAATTTTTATCAAGCTCGTATATTTAAATTCAGTAATTTCACTTAAATGACAATTAATGGGTCATTTTTCTTGCCATTTAAGTGAAATTATTGAACTTAAATATACGAGCTTGATAAAAATGATCATTTTAGAAGAAAATTTCAGATGGCATTTAGAGGCTTTTGCATCTGAACTCTTCATATACATATATGCATATACACAAAGTATTATTACATTAAATACATTTTGTCTGTGACATACCTGGAAAGGGACGCATGAGGTTGTTGTGTAGGGGGAATGCAGCATCACCAACTATCACATGTGGGATTTTGACTCCTGTTCCAGGAAGATTGGCTGGTGGGGGCAGGTTCAGTTTGTATTCAAGAAGCCTAGAACCAAATCGGCTCTCCTTGAAGACACCACCATCACTTTCCCGTCCGTATCCCCCCACATCCACCATGGTGAAGCGATACCTGGCGTCACAAGTAGCCATCAGAACAATGGAGTGTGCGCCCTTGTAGTTGTAGTAGTCGCTCCCGGCGTGCGGTGGTGCTTTTATGTTGACATGCTTTCCGTCGACGCTGCCAACACAGTTCGGAAAGTTCCACAGTCGCCAAAAATCAGCAGCAATGTTTTCCCATTGGGCGACTGAAGAACAGGGAAGAAACTCTGGCTGCAGTGCTTTCCACAAAGATTTACATACCTCGGTCACTATGGAAGACACTGTGCTTGACGACAGTTTGTAGCTAGCTGCTACAGCCTGTTGGCTTCCACCTGAAGCTAAAATACGAAGGGTGATTGCCAGTCTCTGCGTAATGTCTACAGGCATACTGTGCGTACACTGATGTATGATAAATGGCTGCACACGACGAACCAAATCATCGAATCTACCGGCCGACATTCGGAAATATCTGAAGTGCATTTCCTCGTCCATGTCTCTCAGTGGCCGGACAAGCACAGAAAATTCACCCTCCTTCTGCCTCAACCGGTTCACGGGCCGCACGTACCATCTCCTCCGACGTCTTCTCTCGTTTCTGCCTTTTAGTTTTAGTATTTTCACTAAAATTAACTGCTTTTCCACCTCCATAAGCTCCAACTCCAACAAGATCCGCTCTCTTTCAGTCGCCATTGCGTGTAGTAACCTAAACTCAAAACAGCCGCGAGGAATCTAAACGCAGTGGAACATTAAAACCCTCCGCCGCCAACTAGCGTTTCGGCGCTGTACTGCAGAGCAACGCAGACCTAAACGCAGAAGTATAAATGCTCATGACGGCGTCGCCTACGTGCGTAGCCTACGCCGTACACTACGGCGTACACTCGACGCAGAAGTATAAATTGGCCTTTTCGCGTCTGACATATATAGTGAAGCAGGCCATCTGATATGGATTAGACAAATGCTGAGCTAACTATTTCCTGTGCTTGTGCCACTAAAATGGCAATTACATTTCTCTTTAATTGCTTACCTTTCAGTATATAGCTTTCAGCTCTTCTTTTAAACTTAATATAAAATCTAAAATTCCTTTATATCTTTATATCATACTGTACATCTACCATTTGTCTTACCTTCAGTCAACTCACAATCACTTCTTGCTACAGTCATTACCACTATACACGTTCTCTCACTAAATCACAACTTTCCACGTTCACTCACTAAATCACCAGAACTCGCTACATAAAGTTATGGGAAAAGGTGAAATATATAGGCTTGTCAATTGACTGAATAATTTTTGGTAATATGGAGTATCTGTATGGGCCTGTTATGTGGACAGAATGTAACTGGTAGCTTAACGATTTTAACAAGGACACATTTGGCAACTATAATTATAGAACACAAGTAACATTTCAAGGTTTGGTAGGCCTTTTTGAGCAAACTACCATTTTTTAGGAATGTAACATGTCATTAAAGTGTAATAAAGTAGTTACATTTTATGACATCCTGACAGAGGATTTAATCAAATGTTGAAAGGGATGTTGTTGGTATGTACGTGTGTGATGCTTCATAACATTGCCAATGAACTGCTAGATCACTACAAACAATAAAAGTAGTATGCAGCATTTCTCTTTGAGTAATAATAATGTGTAATACTAATAGATTGCCCTACTTTTCCATATAGTGTCATTTACTTTGTTTAAAGGGGTCATATAATGGTACATGCACTTTTACAAGTTGATTGTACTGAAATGTGTGTTGGCAGTGCCTGTACACAACCATCATATAATGATAAAAATCCATCCAGTGGTTTTGTTTTAATCTCCTTATATGTTTTCCCCTGCCTCAAATCGAGCCGTTCGAGCCTGTGACGTCACAAGCTCGCACGCCCCTCCCACGATTGTTGATTGACAGGATTCGAGCGTTTCAACACAGACCCGCCCTCGCTCATGAGGGAGCTGTCAATCATAGTCTGCGCGGCGCGGACCGGCGCGGTCATTGTTGATATGCTGGAGCACTGTCTATGAGCAGAATGGCGTCTAAGCGATTGTGGTGTTCTGTTCTTGGGTGTAATAACGAACACAGCAGTCATTTTAATGTTCCTAAATCCGAACCGCTGAAGACGCAGTGGCTGTGTTTGTTTTCGAAGGGAATATTCCCCACGAGCAACGTCAATGCTCTCATGTTTGCGCGAATCATTTCTCACCAGACTGCTTTATAAACGAGGGTCAGTATAAAGCTGGATTTGCTAAGACATGAAAAAAGGATCGGTACCAGATATTCGTGTTCCTGCTGAATCTCCAGAAGAACGGAAGTGAGTGTAACGTTTTATTAAACTTTATATTAATATATTAATCTTTGCAAATCGCTAGCTGCACGCTTCACAATGAATGCGTCTAAGGTTTACACTCAGGGTACATTACGGCATGTTTTCTATGTATGACGTTCTCAATATAATTCATAATCCCACGTTTATACTGAACAACGCGTTATGGTTATTGTGTTATTGAGTTACAAATGGTGTATGCACAGCACAGAGAGGCGGGGTGAGCAAAGCTCATTATCATTTAAAGTAATATGCACTGAAACGGCGTGCTGAAAACAGAGCTGTTTTTGACCAGGTAAAATAAGTGTTTTCTTACAATAGTAATGAGAATTTTTAATTAAAGTATATTACAAACTTTTAATTTAGACCCTAAAGAATCATATTAGCTTGTACAAAAATGCCATTATATGACCCCTTTAAAACTTTGCCTTTAACAGATACAGTGTACTTTTCCATCTGTTCCCATATAAGATTCAATGTATCTTATTCATCCTTATGTGTCTCTAATCAAAGGGATATTTCACCCAAAAACGAAAATTCTCTCATCATTTACTCACACTCATGTTTGCCAAGCAACGACTCAATTCATATGGATTATGTTTACAATGTTTTTAAGAACTTTTTGGACTGGTTTTGGTTACTCAATGGGGTTTCAATGGAGGTATGGAAATCTCTATTTCATAAAAGAAATATGTTTAATCGTGTTTCAAAGATAAACAAAAGTCTTATGGGTTTGTAACAACTTGTCTTGAGGGTGAGTAAATGATTGCGTGCCAAAAAAATAGCACATTATTGAGAATTTCTCCTTTTGTGTTCCACGAAAGAAACAAAGTCATTAACGTTTGGAACAACATGGTGGTGAGTATGACAGAATGTTCATTTTGGGGTGAAGAATATCCCTTAAAAAGTAAGAATTAAACAATTAAAATAGCAACAACAGACTAATATACAGTACATTGATCACTAAGGAGTGAAAAGAGCATGCATAAGTAACTCCTTACTGTGAACTTTGTCTTTTCCTCCATAACCTTATAGCCAAGCAGGGTGACCTTGAGCGTCTTCTCTTCATTGCCTCTACAAAATCCATCACTGTAATACTCCATCCCATTCCCTCTTCTTACAACCTCTGGACTGTGGTTTTGGTAAAACCTGCTAGATCTTCTGCAATGTTAAATCCAATGCTCTCAGAAAAGAACGAGCTGAAATAAAGGATGCAGATAATAATTTTTTTTTTTTTTTTTTTTTTAAAGCACATTCATTTCTCAAGAGATTGTTTAAATCAATGGTTATAAGAAGCATCACAGATTAAATTTTACCAATCTTCAAAAGATTCATTCATACAGCATTAGAGTTATTTCAAGTATGCTCACGAGCATCTAATCATGGTATGATAAATACGATTTATTTTCTCTCTTACCTAAAGTAGCTTGATAATCTGTTTGGGTGTTTTGTCTGGTTTGGGAGCTGGTGAAAAGAAAGAATCCTAAATCTAATGTTAGCAGAAGTTGACTGGTTGTCATCTTCTGCATTCCTCACTATTAAGAGAAGTGAATCAGTATGCCAGTCACAAATGAGACACAACCGACCAAACCACACCTTTTTCTTCTTTGATAAAATTTCAAGTCATTCCTGTTTATGGTGTGGCAGGTCTACCCAAACACACCATAAAAAAATCTGATTAAATGACCTTTGTATGAATGCAGAACTCATAAACCTATAAAAAATGCTTTTTTTCCATGAACTTTTGTTTGATTGAACTGCCATTTTACAGATGTGTTCTCTTTCATTTACACCCCATAAAATGACAACTTGTAATGGACTATGTTAAACCAACAAATTTAACTGAGTTACAGGATCTTAATCATTTGAAGAATAAACACTGTAACATGTTTTTTTTCTTTCTTTTCTTTTCCCCTTTTTTTTTACATTGCTTTCTCTACAAACCATCCACAAACCACAAGCACTTCTCTTCAGCAAAGTGGTAACCACAAAAATTTATCACAACATGCATGGCAGAAACTTTTTTAAAGGGGTCTTATAATGGTACATGCACTTTTTCAAGTTGATTGTACTGAAATGTGTGTTGGCAGTGCCTGTACACAACCATCATAAAATGATAAAAATCCATCCAGTGTTTTTGTTTTAATCTCCTTATATGTTTTCCCCTGTCTCAAATCGAGCCGTTCGACCGTGTGACGTCACACGCTCGGAAGCCCCTCCCACGATTGTTGATTGACAGCAGCGTTTCAACACAGACCCGCCCTCGTTTGTGAGCGAGCTGTCAATCATAGTCTGCGCGGACCGGCGCGGTCATTGTTGATATGCTGGAGCACTGTCTATGAGCAGAATAGCGTCTAAGCGATTGTGGTGTTCTGTTCTTGGGTGTAATAACGAACACAGCAGTCATTTTAATGTTCCTAAATCCGAACCGCTGAAGACGCAGTGGCTGAGTTTGTTTTCGAAGGGAATATTCCCCACGAGCAACGTCAATGCTCTCATGTTTGTGCGAATCATTTCTTACCAGACTGCTTTATAAACGAGGGTCAGTATAAAGCTGGTTTTGCTAAGAAGCTGCTCATGAAAAAAGGATCGGTACCAACTATTCGTGTTCCTGCTAAACCTCTAGAACAACTGAAGTGAGTGTAACGTTTTATTAAACTTTATATTAATATTTATATTAATCTTTGCAAATCGCTAGCTGCACGCTTCACAATGAATGCGTCTATGGTTTACACTTAGGGTACATTACGGCATGTTTTCTATGTATGATGTTCTCAATATAATTCATAATCCCACGTTTATACTGAACAACGCGTTATGGTTATTGTGTTATTGTGTTGCAAACGGTGTACGCACAGAACAGAGGGGCGGAGTGAGCAAAGCTCATTATCATTTAAAGTCATATACACTGAAACGGCGTGCTGAAAACAGAGCTGTTTTTGACCAAGTAAAATAAGTGTTTTCTTACAATACTAATGAGAATTTTTAATTAAAGTATATTACAAACTTTTAATTTAGACCCTAAAGAATCATACTAGCTTGTACAAAAATGGCATTATATGACCCCTTTAAATAACATTTTAACTTATTTTTCTGTTTGTATGGTTGTGAATGTAATACTTTTTATTGGTCCCCACTATTTATTTCAATTAGAATCCACTAGACACAGCATAGCACAATTTACAATTGTCATTACAGATCCACATGCAACTGGCCAATTCCCATTACAACCATTAAAGCTGGGAATGGGAATGCGAAGTCTGCAGTGGGGGAAGGGTGTGGAGACGAGCGGTGAAAAGGAGGTCAAGTGAATGATAACTACTGTAACACCTGTCTCTAATTCCAGTGATTGGCGGAGAGATGAGATATCCACCTTATTCCTACGCCCCATGACGCTTTGCGTGAATTATGGGTGTAACTTCCATTAAGCTGTAAACAATCAGTGAAAGGCTCTATGAACGCAATAAGTGTCACAATGAGATGACATTAATCGGCTCACCCTTCAACCATCGAACATTAAAATGAAATTTTAAAGTTTAAAAGAATCAACAGACCAAAAATAGCCCCAAAAGCGCGAGTCTTTGGT